CGACGTGTGAGACAGACCCTTTTATCAGCACTTAAAGAGAACAGAGATCTGTAATGACTCCCTTGATAGCAATAGTGAGAAAAGCGCAAGGGGAAACACTGGTCATGTAGGCCTTGCACGCGCGCGTGTGTGTGTGATATAAAAAATGGAATATAAAAGAGAGTGAGAGGTTTGAGGGAGTGAGTGTAATCATCAAAAGATAAGTTAGCTGACTAATGCAACCACTTTAATAGAAAACAGGGGGAGTTGAGTGGAATTACTTCTCATTTCAATTTGATGACACAGCGTAGTTGACTGCCTGTCTATACTACGACCACCGAGCATGAAACTCAGATCCTCATTTACACAGCCGTATTGTGAGTCAGGCTAACTGTGATTCATATATTTGATGTTTGTACCGTGTACATGGGCCATTCTTCCACTGATCATGTGCAATAGGAAAAATAGTGGCCTCATGTTGCCCGCCTGACCTGCGTTTGTAAATGTTTTATCAGACATATTGTTTCAGTTGAGGCCTCAAAGGGTTGCAGGCTGATAAGGTGACAGAGTAACACACAGCACACAAAAAAATGCAGTTGACAACACACCAGCACCACAGATTAATTTAGTTTCTGTTATCCATAAACAAACAGTCCCACATGTACAAAGACACACAAAACCCACCCACACACACACACACACACACACACACACACACACACACACACACACACACACACACACACACACACGAACAATAAAAGCACATTCCCAGGAGGTAAGTATATTTTGGTCTGTGAGTGTGTATGCACACGCACGCATGCTAGTGGCGCACTGTAATCCTCATGTGGTTTCACCTTCATGCCAGGGGCCTATTTGTCTTCATTATCATCATACGCTCCTGGAGGAAGCAGATCGGTTAGGGCTCGTGGCAACAGTAATGCCTCTCTGTCTGAGTATAAAAACAACTTCACAACCTAGACGTTTGTCATGTCACCCCACCACAGGACCAGGGACATTAAGAGGGAAATAGAGCTCCATGCCTCAATAAAACTCTATCTCCAATATTTCCAGAAAGGGTGATGAAATTTTGACTGATGGTCATGCTTACAGCTTTGTTAAGTGAGGAGCATGTTTATGGAGTGCTTTTTTGTCAGCATTTTGTTTAATGTGGAATTTGTGTGACAAAATGCTAATGCCCTGAACAAATCACATACAAAAACCTGCCACTGAGCTTTTGTTTGGGTAATAAATATGCCATTTCAATCCAGTTTGTGAGCAAAATGAACATGGAAAAAGCTTTTTTACAAACCTTTTTAGCACATCAGAAGGCAAAACTGCAAGCACCACAGAACCTCTGGAAGCATGACAAAGTCAACGCTAACAAACTTGGACAGAGAACGGATTTTCCAGGCCCAATTATAGTAGAAAATCTTTTAAGAAACTCCTCGCCCTGCAGAAAAATGATGGAGCCGGCATAGCTATGTAATCACAAGGCCAATGTGTCACGAGTGTTTAAATGTTCACCGATCTGATCAAAGTCTCAGAAATTACTCCCTGGCCCTTATTCGTTCCCACACAAATTTACCTCAAAACAACACCTCGTCAGTCTGAGGACCACCATGTCCGCCGTACCCAGACAGGACTGGTGTTTTATTTAACTAGGAACACACCAAAATTATAAAAACCCAGGAACACAACCATTATTTCACTAATCACCACTTCAAGACAGGAATCAGGTCTCAAGGAAAAAGCTGCCCGATTATAGCTAAATTGCCTTCCAGCTGGCTATGGAGCACATCACAGGTAGGACACAGACCACAGCAGACACTTTCACTTAGTTTCCCCCCTCGCTGTGTGATTCCCATTACATTTCTGACCACCACCAGAGCAATTCATTACCCTCGCTATGCCCCTCACAATGCAAGTCCATTGGTATGGAGATGGCTGTAGCAGAAAAGGTGAAGTAATGCACATTAGTGAATTCCTAGCTGAGGAGAGAGCTTCTTTTAAATTAAGTTTTTGAAAAGGAAGTGACTGGCCAAAATGATGAGGAAATGCAGCTAGAAAACATCCAGGTGGCCACATTAGGAAAACAGGACACATTCAGACAGTAGTGCATACACAAGACAGGTGAACGAACATACTAGTACGGAAAAAGAAGAGGTGGGTGGGTCTGTGCGCTTGTGTATGTATGTGGTGTGTGTGCATGTGTATGTACGTAGTGCAAGGCCAGGAGACTCCCAGCCCTATAATTACACCCTGGTGGGAGTGAAGCTGATAACAGAGGCATGAGGATATCGGCGTCACAGCAAGAGGAGGGGAGAGGAGGGAGAGGAGAGAAGATACATGATAAAAGAAGGGGAAGCGTGCACAACATGATGCCTTATCAAAAACACTGGCTTTTCTCACTGACACTGCTTTTTAATTTCCGCCTAGATAGTTATCTAATGACCCCTACAGCACAGGAGCATGCATGCACATACATACAAAACTCCTTTAGAGGAAAAGCCGCACAACGCACCCCACACAGTCATTTAGAATGACTATAATAATTCAATTACAACCCATCTATGGCAATACTGATTCTCAGTCACATAAACCCCCTAACTCAGTTATCTTACTCACATTAGGGCAGAAATCGAAGTACAGCTGGGTTAAACATCAGTCTTTCTAATGACCACATATACAAGTTATACAGATTTCTTTTGGTATTTGGTGCGCATGCCTCAAAAACCCTAACACAGCTTGCAATAGGGCTTAAGTTGTTATGTAAATGCAAAAAAACAATAAATATCAATAAAGTCGATTAATTTGCCTGTTATATTCCAAGTTCCTGTAAGATGGATACCAACAATAATGTACATTATTATCATGTCAAATCTATGTAACTTACTGGGGAATTCAAGTTACAATTAATCATTTGGTCTACAGAATGTCAGAAAATTGTACCGAAAAAAGAAATGCCCACCACGAGTTCCCAGTGCTCATGGTGACATCTTAAAATGTTTAGCGTTGGAGATTTTGCAGAAAGTTTCATAAATCAATTATCATAATTGTTGTTGTATCTGTCAATTCACTAATCGTTTGCGGCTCTGGAAATGTTTTGTGCATATTTGCAGGAACTGAGCGATGTATGTGTGCATGTCCCCACGCTGGATGAAAAGTACTCACAGCAGGTGAAATTAATGTAGCGGTCAGCACCAACTGAGTGACCGTCCTTCTAATGACATCAAAACAACAACCACGACAAATCATAACATATGGAGATAACGGCCCTTGGAAATGTTGTTTCTATCAGCATTGCGGAGCTCTGTTGCTATGGGGACATGCCTCACGCTGAGAAAAAAAAGAGAAATTTAGCAAAGACCGTCCTTGAGGGCCCACTGCTCAACCGTGGACTGTAATATGCTGAATGCCGTTACGGTATACAGCACATTCTTCCACGCCATAGACTGGAGCACAGCCAGTCTTTCTCAGCAGGCAGGGGTGCAAGTTTGCTGCAGCGTAAATATTAAGATAACACAGAGTGCAGCAGATTTACTGGATGCTTTTGCACGATATTACAGCAGTGCCCACTATAAATATCTTTACAGTCACAGCTCTATGCATCACAGGTATGACCGTACCTGGATTTTATCCTGATTTTCTTCTACTTTCTTGTTGGTGAACTTACGAATGACTGAAATTCAAAATCACCACAAAATGAACAGCCTACACCGAAAACACCTCCCCCTAACAGATATCCTTTTCTGATAACTAACCCAAATCCATTCAGTACAGGGTGACCTTTCAAACGAGCCAGTGCAAGGAGAGGGAGGAAGCAGGCTTTCAGCGTTCACAGGGGGTCAGTGCCATTGTGGTATTGTCCAGACTCTGTTAAATTTCTCTTCCACTGTCTCTCTGTGGAAACAACAGAACATTTACAGGTCTCTGGCCCTTTAGCCTCCGGCACAACAGGGGGATGTTAGCATTTATAAGACTGGTGGTCATTACCCTATTCAGGAGATGCAACCCACCTCCCATCCTAAGCGACACATACTGGAAACAACAGTGGAAAACAGTCATGTTCATGGTTAAAAGCAGAAGCTTTGTAAAATGAATCATCTGCTGTTTTTCCTAAAATGTAAATTAACATTCTAAAATGGCATTACTGTTAAAACATTACAAAACATAGCCTTGGACTTTGTAGCCTACTTTGTTGCACTATACAGTAAAATGATGAATTATCTCATTGACCTAAACGCTGTGCCTTTTAAAGATGTAACTACTGTTTCGAGTGCGCAAGACCAGAGTTGTTGAAAGGGTGCAGTGGCCATGAGTGGGTCTTTCATCTTCTTCTGTTTATTGAAAAACAAAACACGTGCCTCAAAGTGGCCCAATTAGAGAAGTGGGAGTCACGGTGCAGTTCAGGGCTGGCAAAGAGTAGCACACAACTTCTGGGGAAACTTTTTCTGCCCTCTTGAACAACATTTTCTCAGGAGAGTTTCTGGTGGTCTCCAGCTGAATAAAGGGATTAATATCACAAGTAGACCCATTTAACAAAATTTTTGGATGGCTGCTCATTGGTTTAATTGCTGTCAGTGTTAGTTCCCCATTTAGAGCACAGTGTAGCCAGTTATGTAAGTCTATAAACTTCTGCCTAACAACAACAAAATCTGTCTTTGGTCTCATTTTCATTTCTATCTTAGCCTACATGTAAAAAGTTTTGCTAACCTTTGCAGCGTGCAGCTTGTAATAAGTCTACTTAGTAGTACGCTGTAAAGAATGACCATTACTAATAACGGTAATAACAGTGGTTACATTGTAACAAGTCATAGTAAATTCACCACACGTGGGACAGACATTAAACACAGCAGGAGAAGGAAACATGCAGGCAGTGACCAGGTAAACAGGAGAATCAAAGTTAGCCTCATGTGTGCCGAACACGACTGTTGTTGTGAAACCAAAGTGCGTTTTAAAGTACAATATGTCAGAAATAACAAAAACTACGACTTGTTTTGCGTATATGGTATACTCACCTGCGATACTAAAGGAATAAGCGTCTGCTCCACCGAGCGAGTTTTGATTTCCAGACCGGAATCAAAGTTACTGTTGCCGCACGGAGATGAAGCCATTCCCGCCGAGCTTTCCCTGCCTGCCCCTGACACACAATGCACGGCACTGCTGAGTTCACCAAGAGGCTTTCTTTTGCTGTTTCGCCGCTGCAAACTGGTGTAGCGGACTTGTGGTTACACACCGGGGTTCCTCAATTGATTACACGGCCGTTTATCGAGTGGCTGTCCACACACACTGTTTTAATCCACTCTGGCTCGGTGGTTGGTGCCGCTGCGCCCGCTAATGTCCATGTAGTTTACTCAACAACGGCAGGGAGCGGACTGCAGCACACCACTGTGGGCAACCACACACACGCACCAAAGCACGCACACACACCCTCAGGTTATTTCAGTTTATGTGAAGCTCAGGGCTTTCCGAAGTGCAGCTCATCATTTTGCAGGCTGACAGTCAGGATGATCGCTTGGATTTTAATCCACCTGTTCACTCACCTACAGCAGTTATGGAATTCCAGGCTAAACCAGTATAGGTCCAAACAAACACATTTGGATAAAAGCAAGCCTTTGGCAGCTTTCTATTTGACCATAGCATGCAAACACATGGAAGTGTAGGATGTTTTGATTTAAAAATGCATCAATCTTTCATGCAAATTTCAGTGGACTTTATATAGGAGTTTCAGGTTTTAAAAATTCATGCATACCTATCTCAGAGGACTTTTGATCCAGGGCCCTCCAGAGAGAAGAGAGATGCTTTTCACACAGCACAGCTCTGGTTTGATCCCTGAGACAAAGAATCCCACATTATCCCCATGAGTCTGAGAATCCCTCATCATCCTCTCCTAATACACACCAGATATACCAATCAAAACCGGCTGCACTGAGCCACATAGGACATCTGCACTGACTGGAATGCATTGCCAGTCTTTAAAAAGCTGCCAACTTTACCTTTTGTCTGTCTGGAGAAAACAGTAATTCTCGTGATCTTACCATCTGAGGTGCTGCAGGTTACCCAGGGTCCAAAACCGAGGAGGGGGCCCTTAAAGTATAATGACTAAAGTGTTTCCAAAGTGTGTATTTTTGGTCTCACGCTGATCTGCATTTGGTTGAAATCAGTAAAATTGCAAACAAGCATAAAAAACATAATAGTAGCTGTTGTGGTTTTGGTATCTAAAACAAACTGGAACACACAGATCTGGCTGGATTCCTTTCTACCCAGAGAAAAAAAGAGAATTATCTTCTGCAGACAGTGCTGAAATTATTTTTATCAAAGCTTAGCGCAAACCCATCAATAAAACGCATCATTTCAGTTACAAGTGTCTGTTTCAGATGTGGATAGGGGGATTTTATTCCTTTTTTATACTGTTTAGGCAGAGGGATGTGGTGCATAAAGTGCACAAGGATATAAATCACCCACTCCTCATTTACCCATCACCAACAGTCGACACATGCCCACATCTCTCCCAGTTTCCCCAAACTGCTTTTACAAAAAGGATCTCAAGATTAGGAAACAAACTTAACATATCAGCAATATAATAGACCTATGAGTCTTTTGATGCATGATAAAGACATTGTCAACAGGTTTATTTTTGCTTAACATTATATGTTCCTGAGAGGAATGACAGGATGACATTTTATTTTAAACAAACTGACCGACCTGAAGGCTACGATGACTCATATGGATGTTATTTCTAGGTGGAATAATGTTGGTGTGGGATGAGGCGATCTATCCAGTGTTACAGTTAACTATTCTGGCATCATTACTGTAATATGCATCAGAGGTTGTGTCACACTCCAGAACAAGGTATAAAAGTTTTATCCTAGCAGTGCATTGTTCCTCTTCTTATTTTGTGACCCACTGACTTGTATCCATAAAAGGACTCAAAATACTTCATTCCCATCTGGATCTGAGCCTGACCAAACTATTGCCAAATTCTCCGTATCCTCAAGTGGCTCCAGTTGCTATTTCTAACTTTGCAAGTGCAGCCACTGAATGACAAGTGGTGAGTAACACTTCATATTACAAATACACCAGATGGCTGAGAGCAGATATGGCTTATAAGCACTGTGGCGTTGTTAGTGAGTGCTTTTTCTGCCTGCTTCATCATCAACTATGGTGGCTGGCTACCACTCTATGTCAGCAGTGGAGACAATGGCCGTGTGTGTGTGTGTGTGCGTGTGTGTGTGTGTGTGTGCGTTAAGACTGTCTGCTGCTCTCAGGCCCAGCCAGTATTTATTTAAAACCCCAGAGCTATGCTTTAGTTTAACCCTCCTTGTTTACATAGGTCTCACTCCACACACACTCACACAGACATGTACACAAACATACACACTGCATCGTTTATGAAGGCATGCGAGCAGTTTGACTTGCTATGAGCGGACAGGGTTGTGTTCCACTTTGATGAATGTCTCTACTACTAACTAGATAATATCTGTATGTTTTTTTGTTAATCTGCTCTGAGGCTCTCTTCCAAGTGATAAGATGATAAGACGCTCCACTCGGGCTACTTGCATTGTACTGTATCAGCTTGTGTTGGCTTAAATGTTTCTGGTCACAGTAGATAAGTTCAAGAGGCAGAATAAGATAAAACATGATATATCCTGTAACATTTCAGTGGAAAGAGTTTAGTTATCATCTAGACAAATAGCCTATTCACAAGTTCAAACGCACACAACAGTGTGCACATACTCATTGAGTTTGTCAGTGCCATACTCCTAGCTTTGAAACAGGCTTGTTTTTCTAAACAGTATCTCATTTGTTCTGGAATATTCAAATATTTGCTCCACTGCCTCTAATCTCTTTTAGGCACATTGCATTTTGACAGTTTGCCTGAAAACCCATACAGTACAAGCAGGAAGTCTCTTTTGTGCATACTCATCTGCACAGTCCAAGGGTATTACTCATTAAATAAAAGATGCTTATGCATAGTGTGATTGTGTTGCTAACAGCTGCTACTGTCTCTCTCCATGCTTTAGAAGTGCTGAGTTTCGCTCTCTCTCTCTTTCTCTCTTTCTCTCTGGATCATTCCTTCTGGCTGTACAGCTCCTGGGACAGGAACTGCTGAGCCTAAAGAGATAGTGATTTTGCACACTGCAAAATGTGAAATGAGTGCACTCACTCATATTCCCCTGTTGGATAAGTAGACTAAAAATTTGGGATTCAAAGGAGGGATTGTGGTGAAATGTTGAAGGTTTTTTTTACTCCTGCCGCATTTTAAAATTCAAGGAAAAGTCTATCTCAAGTATACTTTGTATGTGCATATACCACAACTCACTCATCAACATTTGCCTCCAGGGAAGCCATAACCTTGACCTCAGAATACTTGCACTTCGGGTTAGCGCGTCCTTGACAGAAACCTGTAGCTGAACTCACCCACTTACAATGATACAGTGACCGGAGAGGCCTCTGTGAAGGAGAGGAGGTCAAACAGAGGTGAGGCTGAATATTTTGTTGGCTGCTGATTTTACTGACCCTAAATAGTTAGTTTAATCTTGGCTGGCTTACAGGTGGTTATGTTAATATGGACTCTGGTTAGAAAAAAATGACAGTGCTTCCAGTGCAAATAATATTCACCACAGAAGTAGAAACTGGATACAAATCAGACATTTTAATATCTTCAAATAAAAACCCAAAGCAGCAGTGCTAATAAGGCGCGGGTCGTCTGTCATTTACGGCTCTCCTCCTGCCAAGCATGCACCCTCGGGCACAAGACTAATTTAATTGCACGTAAACATTACCAGGCAGCAGAAATGTGCCATGCAAACAGCCATCCCAGTAATCTTGGCTTTTCTGCATCTCAATTTCTGTTGTTACATAATCATGGACACCTCACATTAACTCATTATCATGCTGCAGTTTGAAATAACAGCATATGTAAACACAGGAATGTCTACACATGTTAAACATAAATAGACATTATTATGGATAAATCTCTAAGATTAAGATGTATCTTGAAACAGTATGTGTCTGTAAGTGTGTGTCAGGAAACAATCTACAAAAGTTTTAGCAAAATAGCAAATTTTATTTTGTAGATGAATCATTTTTGTTATTTAAATTTGTATTATTCGATGCAATACCAAGCATTCACCAAGATAAACCGAGTTCAGAGAAAGTATATGGTATACAGTGAACTGTTGCAAAATACTGTTGTTACCTGAGATCTTAAAAGTGGCATGGTATAATCATAGAGTCATTACATGTAATGTTTTAGCTTCTCTCAACTGCAGTGTCAAAATATGCCTGTATGTACGGGACTGAGGAAATGGCATTGAATGAGACACTTTATTAGCATTAAAAGAAAATCCCTCAAGTGTGAAGTTCATTATAGTTATTCTCTAAATTACTATCCTCAGCCTCACTGAGTCTTTGGGCACTTCGTGAAATTAATTAATAAAACATTGAAGGATTTTATCTACAGTGCACTGTAAAACTTAATTAATTCTGATTTCTTGATGCATACAGCAGTGAGATGGAGATCCTTATGTAAACATTACCCAGGACAGAGTTTGTCTGTTTTGGGGTCAGGATCCTACTTGTGGTCACTATATTAAATAAAAGATAAATGGAAATGCATTAGACTTATAGCCGACTTTCTGAACTAACACACTGTGCTTCCCTCCATTCTCTTATAGAAATAAAGTCATGTAATATATTCAAATTAACATGCCAAAAACAGGGCCTTGAAAATAAATCCAAATTTATACCCGCTACATTTGCTTACACAAACACTGATGCTAATAGCCCAATTACTAATCATAAATCCATACCCTTAAATGTCTCCACAGTTAGATATATTAAGTATTTCACCTCCCTGCGATATACTAATTAGCAGGAACCAGGTTTTTAATCTGTTGAGCACTGTTGCCATATAATGAGGGCATCATACTGTAGCTGGTGCAGAGTGTGTCCACGGGCTAAATCAAAGTGCTTTCTCTGGATGACCCTGTCATTACTGGCTAAAGGAAACAGTTCACCCTGGTGCAAAGACGTGTTCACAAAACATCTCACATAAAGGCATATACTTACACTCCTAGGTGTGGAAAATAGGACAGGATCTTTCCTAAATAAACCTCCTCTCTCTCTCTCCTACAATGACATGTTGCATTTAGCCAAACTAATCCTGCATTGTGTACGCAGGTACAGAGATTTCACCATGAGAGGATGATAAATGCATAGTCAAGGCAGTACAATGATAATAGAGAAATATTTTTATTTTTTTTTTACAGACGTAGCTGTTTGGCCACATCCCAGCTATCGCCTAGCTGCCATTCCTGAGATGAGAGCATGGGTATCCTCCACAGAGAGGTCGTCTCACCCTGCCAAGTC